CTCAGTCCCTCAAACGTCAGGTTTACGCGGATTGGACGTCAGTTTCATTCCCCCTCTTGCAAACCGTTGCACGGCCAGTATAAATTTGAACGCAATCACGAAAAAAAAATTTAAAACATGGTCAACTCAATGCAGTACATTCTAGGAGCAAACTGTTTTGCACCTAAAATTTACTGCATTGATACTCTGGTACTCAGTTCAAATGCTCTGATAGTGTTATCGAGATGAATCAGACTCGTTATATTCAGAAGTTGTTATCTAGATTTAGGATGACAAACTGTAAACAAACTATAAGCCTAATGCAACACCATCTGTCCTCGGATTAGAGACACGGATGGATCATCACCAGAGTTAGGAGATCCCAATTTGTACAGACAAATTGTTGGAAGTTTGATATATGTCATGACTGATTGACTGGTACTAGACCAGATCTGTGTTACAATGTTACTAAATTATCTCAGCATATGTCCAAACCCAAGGTAGCTGACTTGAATGTAGCTAAACACGTGCTTAGATATTTAAAGGTGACATCAGAGCATGGTCCAAAGTTCAGAAAATCTGAAAACCCTTTGTCGCTAATTGATTTTAATGATTCTGACTGGGCCGGGAGCTAGTATTAGTGATAGGAGGAGTATATCTGGTTACAGTTTCCAGTTGTCCAAGTGTTAGCCCGCGTGCAGGCCCAAGGGAACCACTATCAAGTTCCCTTCAGCCTGCTCCCTTGGGCCTGCACGCGGGCTATCCAAGTGTGGACCATTGGTATCATGGAAGAGTAGGAAACAACAAACTGTAGCTTTGTCTACGTGTGAGGCAGAGTATATAGCTCTTGCCGAAACTGTGCGGGAAGGGAAATTTTTAGGTAAGTAATAGTGTACTTGTAAATGTGGATAACCAAGGCGCGATACAGCTAGCGAAGAACCCTATGTTTCATAAGAGATCGAAGCATATAGATATCAAGTACCTTTTTATTAGGAGCGAACCAGAGCTATAGGTACGATAAACGTCGAGTATGTTGCAAGTGAGGATAATTTGGCTGGCATCTTCACCAAACCGGTAGGTAAAACCACAGTTAATAAAATAGGATGGTTTGGCTAGCCGGCAAACTTCAAAGAGTTTTCGCAAGCGGCGGCAAATATGTTGAGGCAACAGGTGGGCAATTTGTCGACGCTAACCAAAAATAGCCGCTCATTTCTTCTCGAGTTGCCATTTTCGCGTCGAAGAGCAAAAATATAGACTTTCAGAGAATATTTTAGCTGTTTACTATCAAATATGTTTGTGAAACAGTTGATAATCTCACTGAGGAAGGCCAACGGTTTCTGAAAAGCTAAAGTACGTCGAAATCCAGCTTTGGAATAGACTATATTTTCACCGGGGAAACATGAACTAAATGGATATTTACATCAACACTGGATTTTGCTGGTGCCTACAGAGGTAGTTGGATTAAAACAGATGTTAAGAAGTGAAAATGTGAATTTTATGAATTATATTTTCATTAAAATGTTTCAGAAGGGCTGCTAATGCCAAACTACAAGTGTAACAGAGCTGTCAGTATACCCATATATCAATATTTATGCTGAAATGACCCATCTTCTTTGAGGTATAGCTTAAAAATTAGGGTATGCTCATCACTTGAAACTAGCCTTAAATCAAAGTTTTATCTATACTCTTTTTATTAGAATTAAAATCATTCATGGGAAAAATGTGCCAAAGGGTTGAAATTGCCCTTGTAAATGTGCACTATTTTTGACATGTTTTGGTTAGTATTTTGAAAAGGTGTTCTGGAAGGAAAATATGTCTTGAACAATGCTGTTTGACCCTTAAATTATAACTAGTGTCATGTAAATCACAGGAAATTGAAAAAAATCTGGTCCATACACAATATTTTGGATTCTATAAGGTCCCGAATGGGGCTTATTTCAATGCTAAATCTGTTTACCTGGAATAACTAAGTCAAGAATTTGACTATGCTCATCATCCAAAACTAGGTTTTTCTAATTGCTTTTTCACCTGGGTTTGTGGCAATACCAGTTATACGACCATGAAAAATGCGCGCGGCACTTTTTTTGGACACTGAATATGGTGACATTTGATGTTGTCATATATTGCCATCCTTTTATCATAGCATAACTTTTTTATTTATTTATTTATTCATTTTGTCACACACATTAAAGATATACATTTACGTAGAGATAACAATAACAATAACTAGAGAATGCTGCGACAGGAGAAGAAAACAGAAACTAAATTCCAATTGATATTCGACCCCTTAACAATTAATGGATAACGAGGCGTACTAGGACAATTATGCACGAACTTATCACAGATTACATGGAACTTAACATATAGGATACTGTACAACGAATTATAGAACAAGATTAACTATGGTGGTATGTAGGTAAACAGTTTGGCTTTGTAATAAGATTGTAGGTGGTGCTTGAAGATCTGTAGGGAATGGGCGGCTTTGATGTTCGGTGGTAGATTGTTTCAGAGAATGACAGTGCGTGGGAAATAGGATTGTCGGAAGAATTCTTGATTATTGGAGACGATTATGTTATAGTTGTTAGGGTCGAAGTTGCGTGTGGCATAGGGGTTAGTTGCAGGTGTAAGGTATTGGTTAAAGGTGACATTAATAAGGTTGTATTTGATTTTGTATAATAGTGTTAGGTCATAAAGTTCACGCCTGTGTTCAAGTGGGAGAAAGTTTAAGGATATTAGTCTGTCTCTGTAGGTAACATCACGAGGAGGGTAGTTCAGAATGAATTTCGTTGCTCTGCGTTTAACGTTCTCTATTAATTTACGTTGTTTAGCCGATTAAGGTGACCACACACACGACACGTAACTTAACTTATTTTAGTGAGTTTGTTAAAGTGTTGTGCTCACTATATGCCTGTGATATCTAAGATTTATTCATAGCATTAGATGATAAATTTAGGTTCTGTTTTCTTTTATTTTTAGGTGATTGTATCTGTTCACTTGAGTGTTGGTATCAAATTTTGATCAAGTTTCAATTATTATTTCACATTCCTTTATTCAAATATCCAAATAAATGGAATATGATATCAAGCTGGAGGACTAGATCCTGTTTCCAGACTTGTTTTTGTAAAAATAGAAAATAATAACTTATTCTATGTTGTTCTAATAAAAACTATTGTTTTTTATATGCATATTTAATTTTTAAAATTACATTTCATTCTTTGGTAAAATGTGTACCAGGAATACTGAAATCTTTCAGAACAGCTAACAGTACTTTTATAACTTATATAGCCAAGTGTTCTATCTATTTCTGTTCAGATTAGACAACTGATGGGTAAAATATTAGATTAGAATTTTTCAAAAAAATTAGCTTGCCTGTTTTCAAAGCATAAAAAGCAATAAAATAAAGCAAAAGTACTTATTTTTAATTTAAAATCTTTGGACTGTACAGCTTAATGTTTTCCACTAAATATTACAAAGTTTTTGTTCATTAAAATGTTCTTTTATCAGCTTTAAAACCAGATAAACCCACGAAGCACTCCTAAATATATGTCGCCATTTTGATTTTCTTCGCGCATGCTCACACAAATTGCCCACCTGTTGTCTTGACAACGATTTGAAGAATAATATTACGGTTTTATGAACTGATAACTTGACTACCAATACGATCCTTTAGAGAAAACTAGAATTAGCTGGGGGAAATCAGTGGTATAAAACTGTTCACGACATTCAATTTCCACCATTTTGTCTTCACTTTTCTCATGGCCCGAATGGCCGAAGTTATCACTCCAGATAATTATTTCACTGCATGGTATTTTCACTGCATAGTATCCACTACCCATTAATGATGTTCAAAGTCCATTTAAAATACGTATGTTTAATGAATAAATATTTAAACAATGGGCAGCTTAATTGTCCAGCGAAAGCAAAGGCAGATAAGGTCATTGGATCCCTATCAATCCCATGTGGCACCGTGTTGGCCAATGTCACATTTTTCTATAAAACTACATGGTCGATCGGTAAGAATCTTACGCGCGACGTGTTCGCTAGTGTTAAAGTTGCTCCCATCGGTTCATTATCGTAATAGATTAATCGTCATTTACAATCGATTAAAATTGATTAATCGTATTGAGGAAATCTAGACACGTCCACAGTGGTTAACTTCGCTTTGCGCGGCGGCGGCATGCTTTTAGTTCTTATTTGACAGCCAATGGGAGCGCTAGTGGTTGCAGCGAAATAAAAAGCAAGCCGTGTTTGTCGTATGATAACATCAACAACACCATCTCCTAGCAATCTTGCATTCGGGAAAGAAAATTATCCAGGTGTCATGTTATGTATACACGGCTGTATTGTTAATAAAAAACAAACCCCCAACAACCTCAGAGAAATTATCGATTAATCACTAATCAACAGCTCTTGCTATTGTAAATACCTGGGAGCATCTATTACATAATACATAAATTAACCAATGGAATAAACAATTGAAGCAATAATTAAATACCTTAAGATGATGTGCCGTAGTATAGACCTTTCCACATCCTGTATGTGTGCAATGGAATGGTTTCATCCCGGAATGTGTTTTCATGTGTTTATTAAGATCACTCTGAGTTATAAATGCTTTATCACAGCCTTGTGATTCACATTCAAACATATCTCCAGTGTGACTGCGAATGTGAGCTTTTAGTCTGTAGGGAGTTGAGAACTGCTTGGAACAGCCAACTACATCACATGGGTAGGACTTCTTCAGGAGAGTGGCGTCCTGTTAATTGAGAAAGAAGGATGTTTATGAATTACCATGTATGTCAAACAGGCAACAACATTTTTGAAGGTACTTTTTAATCTTTACTTCATAGTCCAGTGGATATGCACAGATATTTGAGAAAATCATGCACTTTGTGAAAAAAGCACCAAATTCACAGGAAGTGTAGACTTTAACATGATAATGAATCTTAGACATGGAGGCATCGCCAAAACTGATGCTGACGGTTTAAAATTTAGGATTTCTTATATTCTCTTATTAATCTCTTATACAATTAAAAATTGTGAAATTGCAGGTTCACATATAGCAAAAATGACATGCGTCATTAGAAAGCTTACAAAAAACTGCATATAAGACATTTAAGCAGTCACTTTGATTTTCCAACTCCTCTGGAGTTATGAGCGGTTGAAAATATGTTCTAGGGCTAGTGTCCAGGACTTTGGCGGGATTATTGCCTATTTATCACGTTTTTAAATAGCAATAACTGGAAAACATCTTGGAAAATCAATCAGCCGTTTAAAAGTCTTATATGTAGTTTTTTGTAAGCTTTCTAATCATGCACGTCATTTTTGCTACATGTGAACCTGCAATTTCACAATTTTAAACAGTAATAGAGTTTAATAAGAGAATAAAAGAAATCCTAAATTTTAAGCCGTCAGCATCAATTTTGGTGATGCCTCCATATCTAAGATTCATTATCATGTTAAAGTCTACACTTCCTGTGAATTTGGTGCTTTCTTCACAAAGTGCATGATTTTTTACTTTTCCGCTGGACTATCAGCAATACTTGAACTAAATTATACCGGCCGGAAATATAACAGACCGGAAATAACCGTCTAGAGACCATCTTTATTAGACGTCTTCAAGAGAGTGTCCTGTTCATCCTCGTCCCCAGGCCCAAGCTCGGATGTGTCCTGTTAAGACAGGTGGAGCTTTTCGACCGTCAGAGGTGGAAAATATATAATTACTTTATGGGACCGCAAGAGAACATTGAACATTTTCTGCAAATAATAAATTAAATTGACACTCGGGTACTGGTAACTGTGTGATACTAACAAGTTGTCAAACTGGATGTAATGCTTTAGTTTAATGGACAAATTTATTTCAGTGCACCGAGGATCTTAATAAATAAATAATACTTTTTAGGAACATAACATAAAACTGATCGGTAGTCAATTTATCCCGGGCGTTCTGTGACCCCCGTCCGTGATCATATCAGATCATGTCAACGGCATCTAGTAAATTACTTAAATAACATCGCCCGAAGTTCAAAGGTTTTACTTTTATCGCTGAAAATCACCGAAACTTTAGAAAGTGGAAATATTTCCAGATACATGGGCCATCATTCGAATATTTACCATCAAAGAACAAATATGACTGAGTAGTTTATTTTGTCTAAAAATACATTCCCATGTACATGCAAATTACATCCTCTGAGAAAATTCACAAACTAACCCCTCGAAATGCGAGGCCCTTGGCGTGGCTAGAAAAACAATAAATTGGCGGTTCGAATATCCCAATGACCAATGTTTTGTTTTTCGTTCTCATATCTTTTTCTTTAAGCCATGTGGTGGCCAGCTGTTTTTTAATATGGTACCCAGGTGGTAGCTAGGTGTTTTATAACGACTGCCTATAATTATACAATAATTACCTTTTGGTTAGATTAGGGTTAGAGTTGGGGTCAGGTTTATTTTTTAATTATAAATTTGTACTTTCATATTGTACTTATATAAGTGTGGAATTACTAGACAACAAAGTGGAGTTACTACTGTATGACTGTAAATTACTATTATTAAATTAAATTGCCCCTTCTTTCAAAATTGGTTAAATTATTTTTTAGAAATGTTATTTCGCTCTCACAAGAGGCGATTTTGTAGTTTGCGCCAATTTCCATAATTCGCGCGCGAATTCGAATTGTGTCATGTACGTACAGTACAGGTAATCTTCTTTCAGAAGAGTTAGGTCATGTACGTACAGTACAGGTAATCTTCTTTCTGTTGGTGAGAATTTTTCCTATTATTTTTCTTTCTAGGGGAAATGTTTTCTGGGAACTCAAAACATTTTCTGGGACCAATGGTCCTGCGGTCCGATACTTTTCCCACCCCTGTCAACGATGGGAGTAATTTATTATACGGGAGTAATAAGGCAATGTTACAACTCTTGACATAGTTTGCAAATTGCAATTTTGGATACAGAGCCATTTTATCTTAACACTAGTCACAGAGAAATGTGAGCATGCATTGCCCGCAGTCTACTCTGCCGCGCATTCTTTACGCAATTTCACTTTAAGGGATGGAAAATGAAAGAAATGTGACGAAACACCGCGAGTAATGCTCAGAATTTTTTCTCCGGCTACGTGCATTACTTTTTAGATAACATGGTTCTATGTTAAATATTGCGTTGCAAGTTGCGGCAGAAATTGCTTTGTGAAACAAACATGAGAGCTGCCATTTTTCCCCTTCAAGGGCTTCAAAGACGCTCAGTGACGGACAATAGAGTGCGGGCCAGTCCATTTTTAAAATTCTCGGAAAGTTTATTCCTTAAGTAACCGAACGCTATCAATGTTTTTCAACCATGAAAGCCTGTTTTTCCTTACCTATGAATTTTATATTAAGTTCAAAATGGTCACAAGGTGCCCAGAAAGTTCATGACGTGGTTCATAAAATCAACGCTGCGTGTGCAAGTCTCGAGGGACCATGAAACCCTGCTTTTAATTAAGCAAATTGCTAGTACAGTAGCACTTAAA